AAAGAAATGTGAAGCAATTGAAGGATTTTAAGCAGAGTAATTGAATGGTCAGATCTGTGTTTTAGAAATCACTCTGGAAGTAGCCAGGAGAACACATTGGAATCAACCTCTTTTGGAAACAAAGAAATGATTAATAGATTTTTTCCAGTAGTTTAAGCAAAAATATCTTAGGATGAATCAGCATATACTAAGGAGATAAAATCAGTAAATTGGTCAGAGAGATCGAGTGAATGCAGGGGTGATTTTTAGGTGTTGGTCTCTGCTAACTGGATAGGTAGGCAGTCTTTGACTAAGAGAAAAAAATAAGGAAAAGACATCAGTCTTTTTGACTCAGGATTCTTAGAGTGTCAACTTAAAAAAGGATATGGGCACTTGTTATTTTATTTGTGGCTATTTTCTTGATCTGAAGTTTTGATCTCATCTGTACCAAAAAGAGTAGCTAGAGAATAAAGGATGAGGAGAGAAGGGGGGGAGAAAGAAAAAGGAGGGGAACTTTAATTTACCAAGTTTCTAACTTTGGACTAATTGCTTTCACATATAGTAACCCATTCAATTTTCATAACAAATTTTCTTAGAAAGTATTATCTGTACTAGTTATATGAAGAAATATTGAGTTTAATTTGGGCAAATGGCCAGGCATGGTTTGAAATGGGCTTCTCACCCAAATCTTTCTGACCTCAAAGTCCATTTCTTTCTACTATATCACCTTGTCACTCTAGATTTTATTGTGCTGCTCATTATGTGTAGTATTTACTCATAATTGTGTGTTTAGACTACACAACTGCACGTATGAGGTAAATAAAATAGTTACCCACGTGCCCTGCCATCTTCCTGAGGAAATAATGTCTAAATTATGAGTTTAAATTGCCTTTACTTCAAATTTACAAATAAATGATTTAATGCTGAAAACAAAAATTTTTGAAGAGAAAACTAAACCACAAAGCAATTGTGTTTTGTGGGTTTTTTGGTAGATGCAGAAAATTAAGTTATTCCTGGAACATTGTCATTGTCTGTTCAGCCACAACCTCTCTCATGCTTAACTTTATTTTATTCTTTTACCATTTACCTTACATTCTTGCATCCCACTCATTTGCACTCCTCTTTTAGGCACATTTACACACAGATGGGGCAGCTGTTCATGAATATATAGGAATGTATGTCATCACTTTTATTTTAGGCTGGTGACTTTTAGTAGTAAATGGAAATTTAGGTTATAAGAATTAGTCTTCCTCCTACATGTACAAAATGATTTCTAATTTTTCACTTCTCCTGTGGGTATTATAACAACCTATTAAACTCCTCAACTTTAGACTCATTTGCAATTTTAGTCTTCTTTTGAATAAGATTGTTTCATTTCTTGGGTAGTGATAGTCTCCTATTCAAAATTTAACATCCTGCTGTTTTTTTCACTTATTAAAAATACTAGATGTTATTGCATCTAAAAAATTAATAGAATGTGATATATCATGAAAAAGTGTAACAGGTTATATTATGAAGGGAGGTTATGGAATTCTTTCTGTTAGTATTATTTTAAGCTAGACGCTCATTTTTAAGGTAGGTTAGAAATGAGAGCTTCCATATGATCCAGCAATTCCATTCCTAGGTATTTACCCAAAGGACACAGAAACATCAATTCCAAAGAGCACCTGCACCCCTATGTTTATAGCAGCACTATTTACAATAGCTAAGCTTTGGAAACAACCCAAATGCCCAAAAATAGATGACTGGATTAAGAAGATGTGGTACATATACACCATGGAATATTACTCAGCATTCAAAAAAGGTAAAACACATGCCATTTACAGCAACATTAATGGAGCTGGAAGGGATCATGCTCAGCGAAATAAGCCAGAAAGAAAAAGAAAAAAAAAAAAAAAGACCGGATTGTCTCTCTCATAGCAGGAATCTAGAAAACTTAAATAAGGGACCAGGAAAAAGAATAACTATAAGAAAGAAAATACCAAAATCAACAAACAACTATGAACCAGAGACACTCTATGGGGAGGGGGAGGGGAGGAGGGCTTGGGGTCAAAATAAGGGGGTTGTAATTGTATGGGGAATATAAAAATAAAATTTAAATTAAAAAAAAAAGAAATGAGTGATCTGCTTAAAGCAGAAGAATGGGCTATCTTTTGTCCAGATCTTTTGTTTAATGTCTACTTTACACTCTATAAATCAATTTTGAATTGAGAAATAATAAATTCATTTTTAGAAATTCCAGGAATTTTATATTTGCCTTTCTTCTGTCAGAATTTTTACCCCTTAAGATGTGTTACTTGCAAGTGAAATAGAGATACCAAACAAAGGGTCAGATAAAACCAACTAACAAGAGCCCTAGAAAGCTGACTGTAGAACTGAGGCTGTGGGGGAGGGAGTTCAACTCCAATGTGTTCTCCTGACTACTTCCATTGTGTTTTCTAAAACACAGATCTGACCATGCAGTTACTCTGCTTAAAATCCTTCATTTGCTTCACATTTCTTTTAAGGTAACATCCAAATTCCTAGCCGTGGCAAAACACTGTAGGTACTTTGGTGGTAGGTCCTATGCCTCTTAAACCAAAATAGCAATGTAAGCCAATATTACCTCAATTAAAAACATTTCCCCCCCCAAAAAAAAATGTAAGATTGACTTGTGTGTCTAAATTAGCTAATTTAGTAGTAGTTCTGCCATGGCATTATGCTTTTTTTTTTTTTTAAGATTTTTTTTTTTCCCTAATTATTTCAAGATACTTTATTTTTAAAACGGGTCACAACACTTGGCATTTGGCCCATTCTGCCAATGCGCAAGCTACAAACGCTTGCTCAGCAGCTGAGGGGCATTCTTAGTAGCATGTGTGAAGTGAATAAAAATCCATATAAAACAAATATTCAAATAGTTTCCATAGGAACACAGATAAGCGTGACCCCATCTCCTAGTCTTCCATATTGTTGCATCTGTGCCAACCCTACTTACAAAGACATTTCAAAACTAGCAGTCGTTAAGTTAAATGGTCCCCCGAATCCCTTAATTCCAGCTAAACTCGCAGGTAAGCGCTACAGAGCATGCCTACACGTTAATACCAGCGGACGCGCAGGCTGCTGGGGGCTGCTTTATCCCGCTCTCCTGGGCGCGGAGAGCGGGTTAAGATTTATTTTTAATTTAAATATTTTATTTTATATAATTCTTACATCTTTTTTCATCTTTGCACAATGTATGCATTTTCATTTTGGTTATATTCCCCATAAAATTGCACACCTCCCCCCCCTTATTTTGACACTAGTCCTTCCTTTATTTATTTATTTGTTTGGTTATTTATTTATTTATTAAAGATCTATTTATTTATTTATTTATTTATTTATTTATTTATTTATTTATTTATTTATTTATTTATGCAAGCACTGGGTACAGTAGAAGTGCGGGAGGGTGAGAGAATTCACCAGAGCTAGAGCCCGGAGCAGAGCAGGCAGAAGAACCGAAGTACACTGTTGAGGGGAGCAGCGGGTGGCAGGAGAGGTCTTCGCACCATGTGGGACCCTCCTCCGGTGGCCGGGGAGCAGCCGGGGATCGAACCGGCGCTGCAGAGGCTGCGGGCAGCTTCGCAACCCAGCGCTCTACCGCTGCGCCACTGGGGAGGCCCCCTTTTATTTATATTTATACAAAAGCTGAGGTACAGGCCAGAGGTGCGGGAGAGTGAGAGGATTCACCAGAGACAGAGCGGGGAGCAGAACAGGTAGACTGACGAAATACACTGCTGAGGGGAGCAGCGGGCACAACAGGAGAGGTCTGCTGCGCCATGGGATTCTCGCCGGCCAGCCGGGATCAAACCCACACTGTAGAGGCTGCGGACAGCTGCCAGGCGCTGCGCTCAACCCACTGGGCCACTGGGCAGGACCGCATTATGCATTTTAAAATACAAAATGATTTTCCTCTGAATTCAAACTTTGATTTTCAAGTCTTTCATTGGTGTTATATGGAAGTTAATGTTCAATCCAGTGCTATTTAACACCCCTGAAAGAGAAGATGTTTTCTTTATATAGCTTTGTCACATCATTTTCTCAAGTTAAGATTTCTTTTAGACTGGTTGAGAGGCTTAAATCCTTCAGGGAGAGAATGAGTAATGCCTCTTAACAGAAAACTGGCGTTTATTGGTTTCATTTTGAGATTTTTCTCTCTTAAAGGACTCTTACTCATTATGTTTATTTATTGAATGTGCTATTCTTTTAAGTTAGATCTTCCTTCCCTGTAGTTCTGTGGTTTCTACAACACCTCTGAAAGCATTAGAGAAGTGCCACTTCCAGTATAAACAAAAACCTAACTGTAACACTTTTTAATTTACATTAAATGATGAGACTCAGACCTTTGTTATTGAGGAATGTTAGATTGCTTTCACATCTGTAATGATTATAGATATGAAAATCATTCAGATGTCATGCTGCTTGCGAAAAAGTTCTTTTTCAGAATAATCCTCATATAACTTTTTCTTAAGTATACTTAAAGGAAACTTTGTTTTAGTTCTTTTTGTAAAGCATCTTTTATGAAAGGATGATTATTCCTTGTTTTGCTTAGTGTCTTCTAATATTGTAAACCATAAAGGTCCCCAAATTTCAGTATTTCTGAATAATTTTTCATTAATAAGTATGAAAGTTTTCAGAAATGGTTAGCAGTCTGTATTTGGCACAAATTTACAAATTTCTGTTTTTAGATGTTAGAATGGATTTGAGAGATGAGTAGGGATATTCATTGGACTATTACAATTAAAGAATCTGAAAGTTCCTAGAATAACTTTTCTTCGAGTCCTACTAGAAATTATTATTGTTTTACAGAAGCTGTTATTCTAATTGTCTTTTCAAAAGGTGAAGTGATGTTTGTTTGAGTTTAGTGTTGCTCTGAAAAGAATTGTATATTATAATTGCTTATTTTCCCTTAAGCCAAAATCTTTAATTTGGGACATTTGATAATCCAAAGTTTAAAATATATGAGAAGGTAATAACTTCTCTTTCATATTTCTTTTACTCTGCAGACTCTAAGAATTAATAATGAACAAACTACGGCAAAGTTTTAGAAGAAAGAAAGACGTTTATGTTCCAGAGGCCAGTCGTCCACATCAGTGGCAGACAGATGAAGAAGGGGTTCGTACTGGAAAATGTAGCTTTCCAGTTAAGGTAAGAGCTCATGTTTCTATAAATCTGTATGTGGAAAAGAAGGAATGATCTATTGTATGAGAGACCCTGTTAATTGGGACAATTAAGAGAGGACCCCCCAAAAACTAATCCTTTCATAGTCTGCTTCAGTAGTAGAATTAACAAAATAGATTAGTTTTTTTTTTTCCTTTATATTAAAAGAGATTGTTTCTTTCATATAGGCTTGCCACATTATTTTCTCTAGTTAAGATTACTTTTAGGCTGGCAGAAATGCTTGAATCCTTCAGGGAAAGAAGGAGCAATGCTCTTTACATAGAATACTCAAGATATTAGTTTCAGATTTCCTCTGTAAAAGGACACTTATTCATTACATTTTTTCATTGACTCCCTAAACCAAAATCCTTAATTTGGGACTTGTTTTTTATTATTATAGTAATGCAGAGTTTAAATATGAGAGAAGTTATATCTGGAATCATTACAAATATGCTCACTTCTGAGAAAAGTAGACCCAAAATATCTAAAAACATCAAATTATCAAGAATCAATGGTTTTCAGTGGGATATGCTTACTCAGTGGTAAGGCAGAAGGTGTGGGAGGCTGCTTTCTTAAAGATAAGCATATTCTAGAAAATCTTAAATGAGTTAAATAAAAAGGGATTTCTCTTTAATCTTGTAACTTCATTCCCTTGCTCCAATAGTTGGCTCATTTTGTTTATACAAGTCAAGTATTACATGTATGGAAATGAGTAACTTCACACCACTGGTTGCTCCTCTTAGAAGGATAATTTGGAAATACTAGATAAAATTTTAAAAATGATTTTAATATGACCAGCAATCTTACATTTAAAAATTGTACTTAAGTACATTTATAGCTATACTGACATAAGTGGTCATCCTAGCATTATTTATAGCTGCAAAAATCTGAAAAGAAATGTCCATCATTTTAGGATAAGTTATGATATCCATTAAGTGGATTTCTTTGCTGCTATTTAAAAAGAATAAGGTGGGAAAAAGGTTAAATTTTTTTTTAAAAAATAAGGTAGTTCTATATTCATCTATTGAGTGAAAAATTTTCGAACACTTACTATGTGCAAACAAGTCATAGTTCTTGCTCTTGCCAGGTTTATACTCTCCTTGTGAGGAAGACAGGTTAATCAATGCTTTAATGTATGAGTGCAAACTGATCACTTTTTTAAAAGGGGAACTCTGGTTCTATAAGGGCATGTAACAACAACAACAAAAATCTTGACCTATACTAAAGGTTTAGGGAAGCCTTCCCTGAGGAAATTTGACCTGATTTCTAAAGGTTGAATAAGAATGAATTAAGTGAAAAGTATAGACATTTCAAAATTGTGCAATATATATATACACAATCCCTGGTGATGGGAGGAAAGAGCAATATTGTGGTGCTAAAGGAGGGCTGTAGTGGAGTATGAGACAAACCTGAAAAGTAGTGGGGCAGGGCTTTTTAAATCACGTTAAGAATTATGAACTTAGGGCCTCCCCGGTGGCGCAGAGGTTGAGCGCTGGATTGCAAAGCTGCCCACAGCCTCTGCAGCACCGGTTCGATCACTGGCTGCTCCCCGGCCACCTGAGGAGGGTCCCACATGGCGCGCAGACCTCTCTTGCCGCCCACTGCTCCCCTCAGCAGTATACTTCGGTCCTTCTGCCTGCTCTGCTCCCCGCTCTGGCTCTGGTGAATTCTCTCACCCTCCCGCACTTCTGACTGTACCCAGTGCTTGTATAAATAAATTAATTAATTAAAAAAAAAAGAATTATGAACTTAAAGAGAAATAGGAAGCCTTTGAATGGTACAGTTGTTTTGTTTTGTTTTTTCATTTTTTAAATTTTATTGTAATAAAATATATATAACACAAAATTTGCCATCTTAATTATTTCTAAGTGTACAGCAACATCAAGAATAGTCACATAGTTGCACTATCACCACTACCATTCATCTCAAACTGAGACTCTGGTTGCAGTGTGGTTTGCACACCAGTGTGGATACAGAGAGTCTGGTAAAAGATTATTACAGTAATCCAGAGAGGAAGACAATCATATGCTGGACTAGGGTGCTGGCTATGAAGATGGAAAGAAATTAAGTAAACTGAGAGATAATTAAGAGAGAAAAGCAATAGACATTGGAGATAGGTTGAATCAAGGGTTGAAAAAGGGCAGTATTAAGGATGACACCTAGTTTCTTGTCCCAGACACACAGAGGCGATACTGATGAATATAGCAAACACAGAAAGAGTATTTTTTGGGTGTGCTCCTACAGAAAGGTGACTTTAATGTAATGTATTTATTACTAAGTGATAAAGTCAAGGTACAAAGTAGTGTAAATAGTATGTAGTATGATTCTGTTTATAGTAAAAAGAAAAAAAACATGTTTCTATAGATATGTTACATATTATATAGATGTCAGAAATACCTGTGAGAAGAAATAAGTAACAAGTACAGAATGGGAATGAAGGATTGGGGATCTTTTACTCTTCAATGTATGTAGCCTTTGGAACTAGTGGCATATCTTATGAACATGCATCATTTATATTAAACATTTTTTTTTAAAGATTCATTTATTTATACAAGCACTGGGTACAGTCAGAAGCACGGGAGGGTGAGAGAATTCACCAGAGCCAGAGCGGGGAGCAGAGCAGGCAGAAGGACCGAAGTACACTGCTGAGGGGAGCAGCGGGCGGCAAGAGAGGTCTGCGCGCCATGCGGGACCCTCCTCCAGTGACGGGGGAGCAGCCGGGGATCGAACCCGTGCTTCAGAGGCTGCGGGGCAGCTTCGCAACCCAGGGCTCAACCGCTGCGCCACCGGGGAGGCCCTATATTAAACATTTTTTGGCACTTCATTACAAATTCTGAACAGCTGGTATACATTGATGAAACATTTGAAGTACTTCTAATTAGCTATGAAATATATAACTTTAGGTATTTTGTGTAAGATAAATAAGGATCGATATCTTTCCGTATAATTCTCATTTGTTAAGAAACAGCTGAGTGGGATGTGCTTTAGATATGAACACACAAAATATAAAACATGTCTTATACAGGTCGGGCAGCTTATTTGGGGTTTTATTTTGTTTGTTGTATGGTCTTTTCCAAAGGGCCTTTTGAAGTCCTTTTTACAAGACATTCGTTCTCTGCTATGGGGTGCCTACCTTACCTGCCTGCCTTCTCCACCCTAACCCCATCCCATCCCACACATTTAAGTCCAAGACACCAAAGGTAGGCTAGAAGAATCAATATCTGAAATTATTTTTCATAGTCTAGAATAGATGCATTTCTTCGGTCAGTTATAACTGGGCAAATAGAGACTTATCTGGCCTTGCCTTTGAGACCACTGAATTCTAACCTAGTGATGAACTGGTATAGAAAGTTTTTCCTGTAGGCAACTAGAAAGACAGTGGGCATGCTCACTGAGAAATATGTTTGGGGGTAGAGAAGATGAGTTCCTTTTGAGATGTCTGTGGGCCATGCACATCCTCACTGTCCACAAAAGCACCATGGGTTTTGAATTGACTGACTATATGTAAATTATCATTGATGTCAGGAGTGAGATGAGAAGAGGGCCAAGGACAAAACTAGAAGGGACAAGCAGTGAAATAGGAATCTTCGAAGGAGAATAAGAATGAGTAGCCAGAGTGATAGAAGGGAAACCTGGGGAGTACGGTGTCAGAAGCCAAGGTTCAAGGAAAATGTAGATTAAAAGCTTGACAGTTTTGTATAAAACACTGTTAAAAGAAATAGAAGAAGACACAAAGAAATGGAAAGACATCCCCTGCTCATGGATTGGAAGAATAAACATTATTAAAATGGCCATCCTACCAAAAGCAATATACAGATTCAATGCTATTCCAATCAAAATTTCAATGTCATTCTTCAAAGAAATAGAACAATTATTGATGAAATTCATATGGAATCACCAAGAACCCCAAATAGCCAAAGTTCTCCTGAAAAAAAAAGAAGGGAATGGAGGCATCACACTCCCAGACTTCAAACTATACTACAAAGCCATAATCATCAAAACTGCATGGTATTGGAACAAGAACAGACACACAGACCAATGGAATCAAATACAAAATCCAGAAATAAATCCACAGATTTATGGTCAACTAATCTTTGACAAAGGAGCAAAGACTATGCATTAGAGCAAAGAAAGTTTGTTCAATAAATGGTGCTGGGAAAACTGGGTCGCTACATGCAAAAGAATGAAGCTTGACCACTACCTCACACCATACACAAAAATCAACTCAAAATGGATTAAAGAACTAGACATAAGACCTGAAACCATAAAATACATAGAAGGAAATATAGGCGAAACACTACGTGATATGCACATCAAAGACATCTTTACAGACACATCACCCAAAGCAGTGATAGTGAAGGCAAAGATAAACAGCTGGGACTACATCACATTAAAGAGCTTCTGCACAGCAAAAGAGACAATAACAAAAACAAAGAGAAACCCCACCGACTGGAAGAACATTTTTGCACACAACACTAATGATAAAGGACTGATCACAAAAATCTGCAAAGAGCTGATGAGACTCAACAGCAACAAAGAAAATAATCCAGTCAAAAAATGGGCAGAAGAGCTAAAAAGAAACTTCTCTGAAGAGGAAATGCAAATGGCCAACAGGCATATGAAAAAATGTTCAACATCACTTGTAATCAGGGAAATGCAAATCAAAACTACCATGAGATACCATCTCACACCAGTGAGAATGGCACATATTAAAAAAACTAGCAACAACAAATGTTGGCGAGGGTGTGGAGAAAAAGGAACTCTTCTGCACTTTTGGTGGGAGTGCAAACTGGTCCAACCACTATGGAGAGCTGTGTGGAGATTTCTGGACCTACTAAACATAGAGCTTCCATATGATCCAGCAATTCCACTCCTAGGTATTTACCCAAAGGACACAGAAACATCAGTTCCAAAGAGCACCTGCACCCCTGTGTTTATAGCAGTTCTATTTACAATAGCTAAGCTTTGGAAACAGCCCAAATGCCCAA